CATAGCTCAAATTAATTGACACTAGGCAGGTCCACAAAGCTCGCCCACTGCATTGAACATGTTTATTGGTCGCTTCCCTTTAGCTGGTTTGAGTTGTCATGAGTGCACACGATTTCGTCTAAATTTTTGACCCTCTTCTTTGTAAATGTGGCCTTTTGGACACGGCGTTTGTTATAGTACCATAATAGCAAATGCATTGCAGTTAGAGCAGCTTGGCGTTTTAAAGTCTTAATTGTCTGTTTATTTGTGTAGACGACAGCGATGATATTGGTGGAAAGGCTTGTGTGTTTGTTGGATGCGCCTCAGCTGATTGCAACAAACTACTTAGTTTGGTGACAGTCTCTACTGTAAGATGAGAGTTAGATGGAGGGCATATCTTCTTGAGAGGTTCCACATGCGCGCGGTGGCCAATTGTCTTTTATAAGACTCTGTTACTAATTGACACCACCACCTTGCAATTAAGACACAGAAGCCGCTCAACCTGTGATATTAGTTGTACTTAAGGCAAAAAATAAGGATAATTTGGACCGAGGCAGAGGAAGTGCCGCAAGCCAGTTGAGATGGATGGTCACGTTAGGGAAGAAGGTGTGCGGTTTGCATTCTCTTATGACAGCACTAAATTCTGGAGCGTGGCTATGCAGACAATAACATTGCTAAATTATGGAGCAACGCCTAAGAATACCTATTTTTGACTAGCACGATTGCTTAGCAGCTCATGAGCGTTGTTTCATAAATAATCCTTTGTACCTTTTCTATGAGTATTCCGTTATCATCACTCGATGACATGAAAAAAACGACCATGCTTAACGTACCTTTTATTATATTACAAGTTGAAGGGGCTCTAGCTAAATCGTTTTTTTCCTGACTGAAATGCTTAGATTGATTAAAGCACCCAAGCCAACGCGTAATCATTGATTTTCAGCACCAAAATGATCGACATTAGGTGGTAATCAGTTCCCTACTGTAAACTTAAAATGAAAGAGTCAATATCATGCAATTATGATGCTAAGTCACCCATTCTTCTTAAGAGGATAGAATAGGAGCAATAAATGCATTTCATTTTGTTCTTCATACCCCGAAAGAATTGTTTCGCAAGGTTAAATCTATTTTGCTTCACGATTCCCGTACGATAAGCCTCTTTTCCTTAAATAGTGCCATTTGACACCATAATTTAGTTGAAAGCTGCAGGAGAGGGATAAAATGAAATTGTGACCTTACCTCACCCTTCGCACATGTTCACATCGTGAACGCCTCTCCAGTAGCCACTTCCTCCAATCACCTTCTCCTAAAAGTTGGCCATGACCCCATGTCACAGTTGGTTTATAACTTAAATTTTAAAATCGAAGTCTACTAGGTGCTTCTTTACTTAGTTATTGACAGAAACTATTTAAAATGCAAAGCAAGGTAAAAAAATCGTAAAATGGAGTTTTTGGGTGCGGAAATTGTACAGCCTACTTGGGGGCCCAATCAAATCCGTATAGTATTGGAGAGAATGATGGACTGCAATATTAAAAATTTTCATTCGTAATGCATAAAGACTCGCCTTTGTTAGACTTTTGTGTCGGTTGTTATATTTCCACCGTTTAAAGGTGAGAATAAAATACACTTTGGTCCTTATTAGGATCTGGTTAAACTCAATTCATTTTTTAGGACTGAAAGGACACCCTAACACCTGCATTCTTTAATGGAATTCCCTTAAGTTATAATGCTTTTCATTATCTTTGTTATGACACAGCGCTGCTCCTAAACGATTACGACCCCACCTTTTCGCCCACTTAACTGCTGATCGAACTCGAGGCTGAGCATATTGATCAAAGGCAATCAACAAATAGCGTACGTTAAGCCGCAGGCAAAAAAGAGAACGTTAAAAATCGAACCCTACTCATTCATCAATGTTTAGTTACATCATCTTCAGAGCGATTTTGAGATCAGGAAAATGCTTAAATCATTGACGAATGTGCTGATGTCTCTAATTGCGCAAGCAACTGATAAGGCCAGTTGAATCGAAACTATTGACGAAGTTAAGAAATATTTGCATGTATCATATGTTATCTAAAGAATGAGTTCCATTGAAGAACTCCTTTTTAGCTCCTTTCCGACAGTTGTCAGCATTACACTCCACACTTTCATCTAAGCAAATTAAACCTCAATCCTATAATGTAACATCCACCCAAAGTTAGTCTGTAGCCTGGGCATGCCCTCAATTAACACAAAATCAAAACTAAATTATTTTACTTGTTCAATAAGTACTACTTTAAGAGACCTTCTAGTTCGTTCATTTAGAAATACACATCCTTGCTTATGAGCTTAATGCTCGCTCAGTTGCCTTTAAAACATTTAAAATGGTATTTTATTTTGATGGGTATGGCGTAGGGAATGCGTAACTTTACAATTTGTCCTCCAAAAGATTAAGAGGAGTAACTACAGGGTAAATATGTTTTTGCTGGAGTCGTGGCAACCGACTTCTCGATGTCACACGAAGTGTCAACAGACTTGCGCCACCGATCAAATGAATGGGCCATCCGCACGTGTGTCCATAATAAGTATTCGGGCTTTACTAAATTTCTTATTATCTTCCTCAAATGACTTAAATTTATCAAGCTGCATTAAAAGACGTACCTAATATGTTGCATGCAAATCCAATAATACGACTATTGTAACTGTGTTTTCGTACGTTTGTCCGCATTTTGGACCCTCATAAACGTATCGAAGCTAGTCCATATGTAAAGGCTCTAACGCTTGCTTATGAAAAGATAAGTACAAACACGTATGTGGTCTTGATTTATTTGATTTTGCATACACCGTTACTTCGTTATGGGAATGAAGCGATATTTGATGTGCTCTGTATATGCAGTATTTAACACAAAATCACGGTATTTGAGGCTGGAATTTTCATTAGTAAACCACGGAAGGTAAAAATGAAGTGGCAATCGAATTGTTGGGTTTAACATCATCAAAAGAGATGATTACCCACCGCTAATTTAAGGTGGTTCATAAGCTGACTTCGCCGCATTCTAACGGCTGAGTGGTAAGTAAGGAGGAAAAGCTTTTTCAAATCTCGTTGTATGCTCTACATTTCAAACACGCACTGACTACCTGGAGTAATTCAATCCTTTTATATAACTTCATTCATAAGTTGCTTCATCGTCTTTCATTGGCGGACGCTTTGATTGATCAAGACTCAGATGAAGTTAATAACCTAAGTGCATAAACAGACGTACGTAGACGATTATAACTGACGTGATTTCGCCGAGTTTCCGCCGAATTCAAGGTCGTCGGCAGGCGCAGTAAATGTTACCACCTTTTCGGTACATACCCTCCCACTGCCACTTGTCTAACGTTTGCATTTTTTAAGCCATATTGGACTCCAAACGTTAACTGTAATCATCTGTCCACACAAATTAACTTGAGTATTTACATTTCTCCTGCTTTTAAGGTGTTCTTTTAAGTAACAGTAAGTACATGGGTGATTCAACGTTTCGCCTGCTTACTTTATGCAACTCTGCACCATCACATCCAATCAGTCCTAGTTTGGGTGTTTCTGGACCTTTATCGACAGCAGATTGTGGTGCTCAAGTCAGGTTGTCATTTTATCAACTTAAAAGGAATCCGATAACTTCCCTGATTTGAGGTGACAGGAATAAGAGCAAGAATTGATGATTAGTCCGAGTTTATTAAAGTTAGAAGAAATTAAGCAAAGTTAACTAAAAATGCGAGTAATATGGGATCCATAATAATTCTTGCACCTAGGATGCAAAGTTTGTCGCTTCGGGGTAGATGCAGGCCAGCCTAGAAGGTTGAGGAAAAACAAGAAAATAACTAGATTAGATTGTACTATAAAACGAATTGGTAGTTGCAAGCCGGTGTTTTCCGAGTTCACCGATGCCAGTCATCGTGGGTAAAGCGAATGTACGACCAGTGCAGACATGACTTCCACTTAGCTGAGATGAGTGATGCAGAACAATGGTAACTATGCCAACATTGGCCCTTACATTATTCAAAGCAAGTTTGAGTTCCGAGTTTAATTGGGTGGGTAAGGAAACCTAAACCTAGAGGTGCAGTGACAAAACATCTACATGTACAAGGGGGTCAATGTGAGACCGAATATAGAGAAAATATGGAAACATAAAAGGTGCTACTCACCCATGCGCTTCTCCACTGAAGCACCGAAAAAAAGAATGCAATGTACTTAGCTGTACTCTTTGATAAGTGTCAAAGGAAAACAGGTTAAGCATGTCACACTGAGTGAAGGTTGCGGAAGTTAATTGTGTTCAAAATAAAGCGGGAGCCAACAAAACCATTCAATGCATCATTGCACCATATAGGATTTTATCTTCATCTTACCGACCCCTGTTTAGACTACTTTGCTTCGGTTACCTTGCTATTTTCGGATAATTTGTCCACGCCAGCATTTATATAGACGTCCAAGCGACGGAATTAAACTGTGTTATACTACCGAATTCGAGATCTAACTACCCTTTCTTCTGCAAGCTGCTTTAGATTCATTAATCCACTTGTAGTGGATCAAGGGGAAATGCAGATGGAAGGGTGTGGCTTTCTTTATCACTAAAGAGTGATGGAAGGTTCTTCTAGCCTTAGCTACTTTTCGACTTCAGATTTCTGACCATTGCGCTCTTAAGTAACAATGTTCTCACCATAAATTAGAATATGACGTTTCCGATTGAATCTATTAACAGTGTGTTAAGTATTTTAAGCGTTACAAGTAGTGCAATTGAACAACGATAAATATACTCACGTTGGTAATGGTGGTGGGCTTGGTAAGGGCTTGTGAAAGTTATCACTGCTGGATAGCCAATAAGTTTTCGTCTTCGCACCGCCCTCGAATTCGGCTGAACCTCGATACTCAACATGATAGCCACCGACTTCATCTAATATTTCCTTTGTCTTTTCACTTATATGTATTCTAAAGGCTGAAGAGACTATTATAATTTTGTTCGTGGTAAGATGAAAGGAAGTTGGACGAAAAACGTCTCACCTACCGGCTCCAGAAGACTCCATTTTAAGCGCTCGATTAACGGTATCACCAAAAAGACAATACCGAGGCATAGTAAGTCCCACGACACCTGCAACGCAAGGTCCTAAAACACAAGCAAAACGGTTATCAAATTACGCTAAAGTTCCACAAACAGATAGGGTTCGACATGCTCCACTTATAATGCTACTATATGTCCTAATTATCGCAGGCTCAGATTAAGTAAAAGGTCGATTTCCTAAATTATAAGTTAATAGTCTCACAGCATGACCTAAGTGACACCGCATAGACACCACCGGACTAGAGATAAAAGTAAAAAGTTAAAACCATAACACATGCATTGGCCAAATTTCGCCTTTAACGAATGGAACGGGATCAAAGTGGTCCGGGGTACATGTCTAACTTACCGCTATGCAGACCTATGCGTATCCTTAGAGGAACTTCTGGTAGGTGTTTAATGGTGAAAGTTCCACAACCGCTAAGAAGGTCAAGAGCCATTGTGGCTACCTCACCCGCGTGACGACGTCCATTGCGGATTGGCAGCCCCGAAGCCACCATATAAGCGTCTCCTATTGTCTCTACCTACAAATAGCATTTTACATACGTATGCATTGCGAAAGGGGTGCTTTACTTCAGTTCAACCATGAAGTAGAGAAATGCTGTGGTAAAACATTCCTTATGACTGGCGTTTATGAGGAAAATGAGAAGATTGTCGTGCTGAGTGTGGTAATCGCAAACAGCATGACTTGATTTGGAACTCCTTATTAAGGCGGATATAAGGAAAAAGCAAAGTTATATTATTTTTATATAAAATCTCTTGTAATGCTGAGATGGAATGGACTTTCCTGCCTCAAAGTGTATAAGAGGAACTCTAACTGAACTTACTTTGTACACATCGTAGTTCGCAATTGTTTTGTCAAACAGCGTGTACAAGTCGTTGAGAAGATTAACAACCTGCAGTGGCGTAGACATTGCAGAAATGGTTGTAAAGCCAACGATGTCGCTAATGTAAATTGACACCTCATCATAGGTCTCAGGTGCCACCGCAATACCTGCTTTCAACGCTTCTGCAACTACTCTAGAAGTCAAAAAGAAGGCATCCATGTAGTAAATAACCACCATAAGGGTCTAAACTGAGAAAATATACATCAATAAAAGGAGAAAACTGTGCTTCTTTCAGCAAGGGTCCTCTTAAGCGAATATTGCTGTAATCATACCATCAGTCGATATGATTACTAGAAAGTCATATTGGGTGGCTACTTACGGAGGCAGCATGCGACGGACAAGAAGATCCTTCCTCTTCTTCTCGGCCGACAACTCCTCCATTCGAGTTTTTACTTGCTGCTCCAGCCAACTCGAGTAGTTTTCCATCATTTTGAACATATGTTCCACAATATTCATTTTTCTTGGGAAATTGAAGAAGCGTATAAGGGCTTTTGTAAACCTACTTTCCTTTGGTTATTTGTTCAATCTCTCTATTCAGCTCCTTAAACGTTGGCCTTAGACTGGGATTCTCAGACCACGCCCGCTCAAGAATGTCTTTATAAGCCGGTGGAATGCCCGTTGTAGGGAGCTGAATAATGGACAACATAGATAAAGCTGAATTCCTTACAATCAAAAGAGATGTGAAAAGAATGAGGTTGCGCACCTGTCTTCCAAATATGCTATCAAGGTGCTGAATCAAAGCCTTATCTACTGCATCAGTGTCCCTTGCCTTCTAGTTTATTCGGCTAGTTAGCGCAGCTCTGCTGATTTAAATGTTAGAATAGGTGAACGCAAATATTTGCTGTATCGACAGTTTGTTCTTCATGCTCATTTTTACATAGATTTAAAGCAGGTTTCACCATGCACAATTCTTAACCGCATGTGGCAAGCAATATCACTCAATACGTCCGTCAGAATAGTATAAAATCCTTCGCTTTACCCATTTAATCCCAAACACACAAAACTACCCGCTCAACATGGCGGCGTTTAACAGAGACAAGACAAATTTACCTGTGGGCGAAAAGGATGACTACCTTCTTCTACGACGCGCTTCAAAATCTCTTCCACTGGAATATCTCTTGGTCCATATGGTTTTGTCTGGCAGAAGACTTCGTGCATTATTATCGCGAATGCATAGACATCAGCTGGCTTGGTTCCAAGCAAAGCCGCTTCCTCATCTCTTAATAGTTCAGGTGATGTCCATAACTTCTCTAATGGTCATGAGTAAATAAGTGGTTGATGTATGCAGCTAACCTTCGAGCTTCATTAAAGAACAACTGCCAGTCAAATCGTAGATTTTGGGTATTCCAAAATCGGTAATTTTTAGAGTCCATCGAGAACTGACTACACAATTCGTTGATTTTAGCCTCCCGTGAGCTTTAAGGCTCGTGCCGTGGAGATAATCCATGCCCTTTGCAATAGCCGAAAAGAAGCACTTTCTCGCAGACATAAGAGATTTATTACAACGGCATAAAAAAGTTTACGTACTCGGACCATGTCGGTCATGAGGGAGAGTTTGAAGTCCCAGTCGAGTGTAATACTTTTGTTGCTGATAACGTCCTATACACAAAAGCGAAATAACGAGAAGATCAACTTATGTGTAAAACAGAGGAAGGAGATTCGATTCTGCGCTAATCAGATCGCAAAGGCTAAGAGTTGTCATACGCTACTACACAACGTGTTCGTTTAAGGCGAATAGGAATTGTGGTTAATTCCGTGTTTTATGACTGCAGAAAGTATCTCAATTCATTTTTCGCCCCAGCAAAGAAGACAAAAGACTGCGTTTTTACACATAATGGCTGAGAATAGCGTTAGGATTGAATCACGCGATGTAGTGCAAAGCAGACTTCGTTGTAAGACTTAAATGTGGCAGTTAATTGTTGTAACGAAGGCCTTGTTCTTGCTCTTAAGCAGCGAAATAGGATACTTTTTCTGCATTTAGCCTACCCAAGGGAGATCAGTGTAAGGGTGCGTATTTAAGGAGTTTTTTGTCGCTTCTTATTTCCATTTAAATGTTCCTTCTAGCACTCTGCTGCGTCAAGTGGCAAAACCAATAATCGAACCAGCTTTGGAAAATGTGCAAATGCTTGCGGTCACTGTCACTCTTTAGGAAAGGCACGAAAATTTTTTCCAATTTGCAGTAAATAAAGGCATCAGAAAATCCATATTCATCATTCAGATGTGTTGTCTGGTAGAAGAACAGGTAAGGTCAAAACACTACATACAGAGTGCCATCACATCTTTTTGTAACAGCTCACAAGAGCAGTTAACAATCAGCAGATGTTATCAATGACAAATAGACTCTGAACTCGTTACGAATAGAAATGGCGTAATTGTGTAGTACTTCCGCATACTGTAAAAAGGCTTATGTTACCACCTGAAGGCATCCCCAGTGGCAGTATTCGAAGACAAGATTGAAGGAGTCCGGAGTTGCACAGCATCCAATAAAACCATTAATGTTTTCGTGCCTAATTTCCCTCAGTCCTGCAAGGTATCCAATTAATTGCGAGCGCAGAGAAACATGGGGAAGGTGCAGCTTTTTAACGTAGACTTGAATGCCCTAGAGTACCAGTAATACATATCAACTAAAGTTGTAGCAAGGAGATTTTAAAGAGATGCAGTTTGACGAAAATTTAATGTTTTAAAAATTCCTGTTTTTTGATAAAGTATCCACTACAGTGGTATGAGCAGATATCGAATAGACAAATATGGCAAATATTTTTGTCCTTTGTCTACAGTCAGATATAGAGATAAATGATTTGTTCGTTATGAATTAGAGAAATGGTACTATGAGCACTAATTTCATGGACACTAAAACTACCTTCGGAAAAGCACTGAAACCAAATGCTGAATTTATCGATCGGCTGAAGATCTCTTCACTCACTAATTTAAAATCAATAAAAAATCTTACTATATGGTAAAAATCCCTAGCGGTACATTCTGATTCCATTGCTGAATCGGTCATATTGAGCAGCGATAGAAGGAGAGGTGACAGGAGCTTATCATTCTACATCAGTTCGATTAGATGAGCCATGTAGTTCTTTTCTTAAAGAAGTTACCCCTTTACCGATTCAGCTAAAGTGTAACATCTTTAAATTCATTTTAGTGTACTTTATAGAGGAGTCATTGTAGGGTGTTTAATGTTAACGGACCTATGGAGAGGCAATGGAACGCACAGGGACTTTAAGTTTCATCCATTGTGCAAAACCTCTCATATGTAATTTAGCACACTTCAATTGTAGAAGTGTTTGCTGCATGCACGTCAATCTATCGCAGACCACGTTTCATGGTCGTCAGGATTGTATGCGAATCCCTTTCTAGAAAAAGCGAATCGTGTAGCACATCATTCAATATACCTGAGAAATAAGCATTTTCCTTCTATAATATCCTGCATTATTTATTCTGCGTACACATCCAATTGTAGGATAAAATATTTCGTGTTTCCGTTTTAGTAACTCATCGTAAACATCAAACAACGTACATTTAACCACGCGGTCCTTCCCCCTTCTATGCTTTGCAAAGCTCCTCCGCTTGAACTCGACGATGCAATATGAGCTTGGACATTTGACGTTAGCGTACGGTTGAAGGGGGATGCCCTCGAAGTTTTAAACGACCATACATGCGGCTGTGAACTTGCGAAAGGCTACAATGGTGTAGGAATTTAAAAGTACAAGAATATTAAACCGAAGCTCAGCCTGTTCTTTTTAATATTGGCAAAAATCACCCTCAATTCACTGTAATCTCCAGTCAAATGGCTTCCATCCTTGTCATTAAATCTAAAATCGCTTTCAAGAAAGACAAGTTTAAGTGAGTTGAAGCGTTTCGCTTTGTAAGTAAATAGCCTAAAATTAATGCATAATCAGTAAGCACAACTTGTTTTACCGGTGGACAAATGCAGCTCCCAAATATACGAAACTAGCACCGAGAAATCCAAATGCATTTATAATGAGTATGATTTCCACTGATTCTAAAATTGGTGGTAAACGAAAAATAATGCCAAAACGGATTAACTATTGTCACATACCAAAATCACAAGGCGCTATCAGACAGTAGGTGCGCTTCGGTCCCTGTCCATCTCCTGGCCAAACCATTTCACTCTTCCGTTGTGGTAGTATCGGGGGATAATGAATGATGTCGATGAGGTTAAAAACATCATTAAAATTTGCTTGGTGAAGCTCACTGTCAACTACCCCAGTGACATTTGGCCTGAGAGCGAAAATAAGGAGATCAAAACTGCCTTGTATGACATTGTCATCGTGAAATTGGTAACGAAAAGTAATGTTGGGCAGTGTGGGTACAAGGACAGGCGCCTTGGTACGCATTGGTCCAAAGAAGTCAGTGGAGGAGCTGAGATTACCGCCGCCCTCTTGAAGATGAATTTGGACCAATCGCATTGCAAGTGCCGCCCCGCTGGCTATCTGGAGGTTAATTTGCTGCGAAAATGGAAGTCTGTTTATCTACAAACGCGCAAAGCTTATCTATCGCCAGTTTGGGGGAGTCCTCTCCTTTACTTTCAGTCAGTTGTACTAGCACAGCACCAGTGGTAGTAAGACAAAAACCCTAGTTGCTAAAACAATATAAGGGAGCCACTACTTGTAAAAGTTAAGGACGAATCTGGTTACGGCGGTATTAATGCCTCTAACACCATTTAGTAATGATAATCTCATAGCACACTTATTTAGCGAATGCATTACTACTGCCAACTATACAATGGACTTATGAATCGCATATAAAGCGTTATGGATCACCTCGTTGTGTGCGATTGATTTCTCCTCGTATACTGTTCCCTTTGGCAATGCGGTTAGAATGATGAGCGACCGACCAGCAGCGAATGTAGGTCCAATTTTTGACAGATGCCATCTCCACTTATCCAAAGCATCGTAGGCGAGCATGTCTTTGGGATCCACTTGAATGAGTGCTATCCTCCCCTCTCTAATTCTGGTTAGGTTCTGAATGCTTGCTACGAATTCTATCGCTACTGAGGGCTTCGCTAGTATTAAGGCGACTAGAGCGAAAGGACATGACACTCAGCGACTACAGTAGTCCTAACAAAGTACCACAAAGAAATTACTTACCATCTATGTGATCTTCAAATGGCCGGAAGAAGCTAGAAAAGTTTGTGACTGACTCAATGCAAACACTTGTTAAGAGTTCAGGCACGTTTTGTCTTTTTCGAGAGAGGCGGACATTTAATGGTACTGAACCCCACGTCTCAGGGATGTCGAGGTTGGTGGTACTCACGTCATAGAATAGAGCAGCGCGTTTCCAACCCCTGTTGAGGAGATAAATAACAATTCCTTGAAGAATGACCTTGCGTTGAACTACTACAGAGACTGCAGCAATGGGTGTAGTTAGAGAACCGCGACTACTGTCGGCAAGGTGGTTCACAAAGTAGGCGAAGAAGCCGAACATTTGACAAAAGTAGGAAATTTGGTAAAGTTGGACTCGTTGTGTTCCTTCTGGATCTCCTAGCCTGATCCACTCCCTCACTAAATTACAGTCACTGTCCAGTGGGGGCCCCAGTAACACATTGAATCCAGTGGAGTGGAATGCAGTTTTCTAAATCGGCGAAAGCGGTTATTCCAATGTGTGGCATCATGCATAACCAAATCATTTGTCCTTAAAGTACCGCAAGACAGTAGAGATGCAAGAGCGATGGGTAAGATGTTGTAAAATCTAGCTCTTAAAATAGTGATAGAAGATCAACCCTTATAATGGTACCTATGAAGCAGAAATACTAGCGAAAGCATTTTATTTGACGGGATATTCTTAGCTGTGCGTTATAACAATTTGCCATCAAAATTAACCAAGAGAGTGGCGTTTAAGTAGGTTAACTGAGATCTGAAATCCACATTAACAAAGTCTTAAGCAAAACTCCATACGTTAGCTGATACGTGAACACGATTCTCACTGCTTTATTGTACGGCGTTGAATGAAACATTAATGAACGCTCATGCTCTCATGACAACGAATCGCCGTGAGCCATGTAATTTTAACGACTACATCTCGTTCGCGTTCTAAAGAATCTGCTTCTTTTAGGCTCAATGTAACTTCAGGCATACATGTTACTTAATACGGAAAGCAAATGTAGAATCTGCACGTTAGACTCTGCACTCAACGTTGCCGCTATAAGGCCGTTAATCGGATGCAGCCCTAATAAATAGGAACTGGTGCTTAGGTTTTGCTTTTCATACAGTTTAAGTTGATTTGCTCATGAAGTTCAAAGACTTTTAAGCATGACTTCCGCACACTGATGCTTTCACGTTTGCTTCCAAAGTATAAAGCCAGTCGTCCAAAGGTGTCAAAGCAGAGTGAAATGACCCATTCCGCTAGAAGTGAAGCAATAAACTGGAAAATCGTATCCAGACCTCACTTCACTTTAAGGTAAAACTGCTTAAACCTTGCAGCTAAATGGTATAATATCTTGTTCTCGTAAGTTATAGAAGAAATATTTGGAAGTGAAGTATACGTGACACCATGTGATTTATTTATGCTTGAGAAATTATGTGGAAACTTACAAAATGGTGGTGGGGGACAAATGTCAACCGAACGCATATTTAAAATTGGAACATCTTGTAATCTACAAAATTCAGATACGAAATTCAGATACTATGGACAAAGATCACACCCCTTGCAAGGCTGCAGAATGGACATAAGTACTAAACATGAAGCCCTCACATTCGCTCCACACCAACCTGCAAATGCTGTAGAATTTTGTAGATCCTGCAGGCTCTCGAAGACACCGACACTGAGCTTCCTGGTATCCGCCGATGCTTTGAAACATCAAGAAAAACTATCTTATTCTTTATTGGCATTAGCGAGTTTGCGTAGCTCACTGCTGCAGCAACACTATGGGTGAAATTGAAGAGCGTCATCTCCGGCGAAAAGAGGGGATCAGGTGTCAAGGCATAGATAGCAAGGTGAAAATGTCGATGTGAATACTCCGTGACCTCTTCATTGTAGATCTCGGGGGCAGTAAAAAGTAACCAAATGGCTACGACAAGCATTGCTATCCGGAGTGGGTGTTTGACTAAAACAATAAGAAGAAGGAACTTAGCGCAATTTATAGAGCATTTAAAGTTAACGCCCCTCTTAAAGCAAGAATTTGGTTGGATAGCCGATTAATAATTTCACAGTTTGCGCAATCACTTCATGCTAAAAGCATCAAACATTTTAAGCAATAAAAATTGTTTTGGTTGGTTATTTGGCTGATTGTCTAGATGGGTGGTGTTGCATCTATTTCAAAACATCGTAAAATTTCGCAGAACACATTTTCTTCTAATCAACACATAGCAGCTTTAAGACCTCGAAATTGGTCCTATTAAAGGAGAACGATGAATTGTGAATGAGCAAGCATTTAACTAAGGTCGATAATTCATGTAAGAGAATAAGAAACCCTTATTAGTAAGCTTGTGGTAACCTCGAATGCAATTCTTGTGTTGTTATTAGATTAGCGTTTCGGCATACACCACATCTATTTTAAGTACGAAATTTAGGATATTTCGTAAATATTCTGATTCCCATCCTGCACTGCTATTAGGCTGACCTATACTTATATACTCAAATACATGCTGTTGTTATTTCTGCACTAATCGTTGTTTAATTCATATTATTAAGTAAATGATAGATCCCAAGTAGACAGAAGTATTTCCACAGGCGTTAGTGTTATTTTATAATTTTGATTTCAGTGTACATTGGGCATACTTTCACGCCTTTACATATTTCGTTCTTTAAACAAGTACAGCAATTTCTGTTTTAATTTTTGCTGCATTCATTGTATAGCATTCTAACTAAATGCGGCACAATGCTACCCAGTTTCTGATGGTTAATTGCTATGAGATAACTGACAAAATTGTTCCGGTGGTCTTGGATTCGCTAGTATAATAAATATCTTTTCCAGAAGCTTCCCTTAGCGTCCCGAGAAGAATAAAGTAAGTGAAGCTGAAAACATGTATTCCAAAGGAAACAAAGAGGTTAGACCTGAGCTTGGCTCGAAGGCCAGCCTACGCGTGCAAGGGTCAGAAAAATCGCATAAGCAAGGCAGTACGCTTCCTATATACTGATGCTAAAAAAACCTTATTGACTAACTTCTCTTAACAAGGTAATTTTTAAAGGAGAATTCGTTAAAAGTTCTGACATCGTGCCACTAAAGTTTTCATTGTGATATTTTGGATGCTTCACTTGTGATACATTGAATGTTTAATTTTGCGTTGATGATGATCGCGCCATGGGAGTGCAAAGTTGCTGTTTTGGAGAATTCGTCCGGTAAGTGCAAAGGGTGTTAGTCCACCTATTTGAACTGCATGATAACGTTTAATTTGGCGATGTAGACAAACGGTTTAACAAGCAGTGATAAATATGCCAACATTTGGCGTCACTATTGCGACATTAAGCACCTCATCGAGCAATGAAATAATTTCCTGTACGTTATTTCTAGGCTTGAAGGTGCCCAGTACCTGCATAAAGTTTTCGATCTTTGACTCAAAAATATTGTTAGCAAATTGTTATACCTATTCAATCCTAATAAAAATAGAAGTCATATCGAAATGAGGATGCGGTAGCAAATGGATGTGACCGTGTTCTAGGTTTCAAAAGGTTGAAATTCTAGAACAACTATTGTACGAAGTCAGTTTGCCTAGTTTTTGCCTAGTAGCTTAGGGCTGATAGAATAATTTTGAGAAATAGCCTAATATCTAGGCTTCGCCTCGACACTGCTCAACCACGCCCATGATGAATGATTCGTGATGTTAAAATCCTTTAGTTGAAATGAAACCACATTGAAGCGTCGATAAAACTGTGTGGCTTTCAAATTCATGTCATTGTGACAGCAACTTAAATAATTAAACCATGACATTTGAGCCCTGCCTCGAATTTATTGTTTATGTTTTGGAATCGTGCAGCGTGATACATTCGCACACAGCGTCAATCGAAATGGATAGTTAACTAATTCTAAAATTGTAGTTCCAGAAACCAAACTACAAACTGTGAATTCAATTTGCACAGCGATTAACTTATTACGCTAAAACACGACCTGCCTTTTTACGATTTGTGGTGTGTTTTCTGTTGAGGTGACTCGATCTGACCTTTGTAAAAGTTATATTTTTACAGTAATCTTTAACTGAGAGAAAACTCTAATTACATCTATAGTTCTTTAATTTGTTTCGTGCATATGTACCGTTAAGTAAGCCTCTTGACAAGGTCAATAATAGTCGTACAAACTGCGTGAAATTGCAATGGATTATTCAACACAAGATGCAGTTTGAAGACCGGTTGCATTGACGGCCATATACATTTTAGAAGGAACATGATGTTCCCACTCATGTCATTTATATGCTTCGAAGATTATAGAATGTTAAAAAGCAAGTAACTTACTTGAACACAGTCTCAGCTTGCCAATAATTACGGCGGATTAGGCAGTAAGGTGTTTGTGCACAAGTGGTATACAAAACAGATTAGGTAATGTAACCTGACCACCTCTGACAAGCGTGATCATCCGACTTAATTATTTGTTGGATTTCCAGATCCCACGTATTTCCTCGAGTCGCCATTGTCAATGTTACTTTGTCCTATCTAGATTTGCTTGCTGTTTCGCCCTAAATGGTAACAATGTTTTCTGCCATGACTTATGCAGTAAAGATCTTCTTCGAAGTTGTCTTCAACCTTTGTTTTACATGGGGCATGTTTCGTTTTACATATGTAAAAATGCGACTCTTGCCAGATCACTGCAGACTATTCTACTTCACTATTTTACTGCCTTTGAGAGCTAGTGACTTGATTTGTTCACCAGTGACAAGCTGTACCATTTTAGAGCCACTGATGTCACAAAGCACGGGATCAGGGTGCGAAAGGAAGTGCCACGATGCTCTATGTTGGCTAATTTTTCATTGCCTTTGACGAACGTAAAGTGCAAAATGTCATACCCTTATCCCTTTCTAGAAAAAATTCTAATAACTTCAAGAAAGCTTTGGTGTTTGCCTCTGCTAACGGATTTTTCCATCAATATTGCTGCACTTGTAAATATTACAGAACTCATAGACAAATCTATTAAATGGTAGCGAACCAATTACACAGAATATCGACTCATTAAAGATTAGTAGCAAAAGCTTATGCCCTAGATTGTGCGAATAAGTTTCGATGATAAGTGAGAGGGTTGGATATGATGTCTATTGAAGATGCCTCAATTCACAGACCTCATTTTGGGGTGTTTGAAATGACCTCGGCTTTTACATAAAATAAAAAACCCAAGCATGTAAAAATCCAACTTAAGGGAAATCACTAAAGAGTGGCCGCAACTGTTTGTTGTTGTTCCTTTATTATTGCACTATGTCGCAAAGGAAAGAATGGTGTGACGATAGCCGCTATATTGTGCACTTACCGTGGTGGACACTTCTGTGCCAGAGAGGATCCATGGTCATATCATCCTCTTGTAAAAACTTGTGCTCTGCAGCACTAATAAACATGGACACGTTTACAGTGGGCACCTCTACTACCAACTTAATCACACTGAGTTTGGAGGGAGCTGTACAAAGATGGTTCTGCCACTTTACTGACCGTCCACCACCCAAGTAGAATTTCAATGCGTGGGTGTCAAAGCTCTCCGTTAAAGCGGCAGCATCATCTATGATTATTTGGTTCCACACAACACCCTGAGCACAGCAAGCTTCTAAAGCAGTAACCTATTAAATGCATTCATTTCTTGCATCTTGGAGCCGTGAAAACCATCCATGCAAAAACAATGCCCAGACCTTGTTTCGACTTTAAGCTCATGGAGAAATGTTTTACAATCTCAACTTACTTCTTGCTGATCTTTTAAGTTTTACTGCTCTCTAAATTACATGACCAAACCCTGAGCAAACTTTATATGCAAATTTGACTATAACATTTCATGCGCCAAATAGTCTGTGGGATGAGTGATTTGTGCATTCGAAGGTGTCAAACACCTGTTGATACTACTACACTTTTAAACTGTTGTCTGGCCTTAATCAAATAATTTTAGCGACAATTTTCAGTCTGCTGGTATGGTCGCGGTAAGTGATTTGATGCAGCCTTATAAACTACCATTGCTGATGGAGCAAACGCAACCAATTATTTTCGCTTAGATTCTTTCAAACTTGCTCTGCGCAGGCGTCTAATGCGGTCATTCTTTTGCCGGAAGTCCACATCGTATCCTTTATATCGGTTAAATGTTGCCGTCTGCTTTTACACTTTACCAGCATATTCCGACACACTTTCACTTTCCACTCTTATCGTCAGATCTGTCTACTCCAAAGTTCATCAAGGTATCCCAGCAAGTTTAATTTTCGTTGCACTTACCTCATTTCGAGCTGTATTTAAAGTGCTGTTCCTTCGCACTATCATCCAACTCACCCTCATTTTTTAACTTAGCGGAATGCTCCTTGCCAACGCATTTCTCTGATCAGTTCTTTACAATCGTTGAAGAAAAAATGCCTTTAATTTGAAAAAAATAAAGACGCACCTCAATTAGATGGTGGCAATTCTTGATAAATAGGCCCTCTTTAAGTCAATTTTGACAAACTGCAGATGCACTGTTCTGTATCAGTCAACTTTGCTCTTACAGCGAAACCGCTTCTTAAAGAAATCAAAGAACACGTCTACCCATCATCACGTAAACATCAGCTGTAGAGGTAGTTTAATGCATCAACACGAAAGACGAACATTAACCTCACCTCTCACTATTATTCCTACTCTAAAAAGTAATATAGACCTCCACTGTAATATGTTTTGATTATCCGACGATCCGAGAAGAGGAAACATATCCTGTCTTAAAACGTCAGGTTCCACGCATTTACCATACGGTTACGCACATAATTATGCTGACAACTCTAATGGTTCTAACTAAAGAAACCAGACGGAAGGCATAAGAGACCCTGTACTCACTTTTCCACTACCGTTTGAAAGAGGAGGAACGGTGGCAGTTATATGATAGGCCTAAAGCCACAGATGAATGAGCTATCGCCTACTAGTAGCTCTTAGTGGGTGCACAGGCATACGGTTATGACTGTATGAG